AAAAAATTTACTGTTACTTGAGCAGTTTACATAGCTGTGAACTGGCAAAATATGCCTTGAACTAGGAAGTGAAAGCCACGTGGTTTGTCCAATGTACGTAAATGTCAATAAATTTTTATCATAATATGCTTACCAAATGTTCTTTTAAGAGTTGATTTGTAGGTTGATTTACTGCCATTTTATTGTGAACCTTTTGTTAAAGTAAATAAAGAAACTTGCTCCAATAATGGTCTAAAGGTCTAAACATCAGCTGGCTTGAATGGTGGTCTAGTGATGAAGTTCATAATAAACAAACTTATTACAGAGGAACACTGTTAATATCCGGCCACCAATGGGCCACAAAAATCTGGCTGTATTAACGGGGTGGCCTCAGTAAAGGGGTTCTTTAAATAAGAACATGACTGACTGAGCTTTTCTTTGGGCCAGAATAAAGTGGTCATAATAACGAGGTGTTAATTTAGTGGATAAATTCACTAATGTACCCTAAATCAAAGAATAAACGCTGGGCTTTTTTTCAAAAGAATATTTTGCTTGGCTTTTAATGTTTTGCAGTACTAATTCTTACAATAAATCTATCAATAACATATTACCAACAAAAGGGATTTAACGTGACGCCTGATCGCCTCGAAAGTAATAGCGTGACACGTGATTAGCCCCAAGACGCGGGATAGAGCTTCATAACGTGATGCGTGATTTGCTATTTTACAATCACGTAATGCGTGATTTACCAATTAGATTTCCGTAATAAGTGGACGCTCTTTGAACTAGAAGCATACCATTCATTCAAAGCAAATAGAGTCTTAGAAAGGTCAATAAACCGTGGCAGACGTGACACCATTTTGTGGCTTTTTCGTCCAGTTTCTTGTATTATATCAAAGTGGCTGTGAGCCACTGAACTCGGATAATGATTTATGAAAGGCTGAGAATGTTTTTTTTTTTTTTTAAATAACGCGAGTCCATTCACATCTTTAATAAATGAATTAATGAATGATTAAATAAATAAACATATTTATGCAGGATGACCATTTCAGTTATAAAAACTGCTATCAACATGGATCCTGCGTAAAATAAATAGTATTCGTTCAAAGTTACAAAGAGTTGTACAGTCTCCCGCTACTCCAGCGCCACTTAGCCTCCCAAGCAGACGCTCTAAGAGCTCGTCACACGTTCCTTCCCCACGAACGTCTGCTCAACGGACTGGTAACTTCCGTTCGCAGGGGAAGGAAGGGGTGACGAGCCCTAAGAGCGTCTGCGTGGGAGGCTAGCTCCACTGAGTTCGTGACGAATGACGCCATTCTCAAACATCAAAACGGATCCACGAATGCACGAATGAGAAACATTTCCAGGAAAACAATAATTCACCTCCACTTGAACGAGCTCAGCAACAACTTATTCGAACATAGGCGTACGAGCCGGGGGGCGGAGGGGGGGGGACTGCAGCCCCCCCAGCTACGGAAATTATGTGATTTTTCGGGCAAAACGCTCATGATTCGGGCAACGACACTTGAGAGAAAACATTACAAAATAATGCNCTTGAACGAGCTCAGCAACAACTTATTCGAACATAGGCGTACGAGCCGGGGGGGGGGGGGGGGGGGACTGCAGCCCCCCCAGCTACGGAAATTATGTTTTTTTTTCGGGCAAAACGCTCATGATTCGGGCAACAACACTTAAGAGAAAACATTATAACATAATGCTGTTAGCGTGATTTCCAAAACTCGTAAATAAAGTTTCTGGTTAGTTACTTTTTAGGTGATTAGATGCCCGAAAGTGGTTTCTTCAGAGAGTTGGTAATTTAAATAATATCGTGTAAAGAGTTAAGTGAAGTGTATCTTTTCGCTGACATCTGCTGCAGTTCGCGCCTAATTTTCGCGCCAATTTCGCGGTGAGCGGGAAAACGTGTCGACGAGTTCACATGAACTAAAGGTCAGGTTTAAGGTTTCTTCGTTGAAGTTCGTTCGATTCTTTGTGGAGTCCGTAGACTTTTAACGGTTCCAGAAAAAGTGAACAACTTAGAAGGTGACTAAAGGTCAAGCGGCCGTCAAGGTCAACAAGGCGAAAGGTAAATACTACACAAATCCATTAACTAATTGTTTATTCTATTTGATCGATTCTATCCCTAAATCTCAGTGTTAAAGTATCTCATAAATACGAGTTGATGTCACCCAGCTGGTAAGCACAGGGTATTGACCCCGGGGGGTACTTTGGGAATTTCTGGGTGGGGATGTGTTGCTGGGACCCTGGAACCCTTAGCCTATACCAGAGCTAGTTAAGCTGAATTTTGCTACCCTATACTAGAGTAAACTCCCCAAATCCCCCCATCTATCGACACTATTGAGGCTGATTTGCGTAAATTTAAACTTGCCGATTTGATTTTTTTATGTTTTTGGGTGGCAATTCCTGGTTTCCCTAGTCTAGATAAAAACTTCAACCAACTAGTCAGTTTTGGGAAAAATGATACCCTATTCTAGACCCAAACGCTCTGATTTATATACCCTATCCTAGAGTAAACTGCTTGAAAACCATACCCTTCACAGCGGCACATACCTATATAGCCCATATATGGCAGTGCTCCCCACCCCCGGTATTGACTGCTCGTTTAACCTTTATTGTCCTTAATTACTCTTCATCATTATTCATATTTATTCATCGGTGTAGTTTTGCTAATTTTGTTCAATGTTGACAAGCTGTACTTCAACATGTTAAAAGGCGGAATTCCCAGTTTTCACCGATGTCACACAATATCAACAATGTCTTCGTTTGAATGAGAAAATCGGAATAGCGTGACATCGATAAAAAAAATTCATTCATAATTAAAAGCGATTTTATCAGAGAGGGAATACCGCACAGTACTCTTAAAATGTTCTATACTGTAACATATCATTTGATCAGATGAAATATTCGATTATAATTACACATTACTCCCTATTTCCAGACGGAGAGATGACGGATCAAGGGCCTGATAGAGGAAAAGGAAACGCCCTTATTGTCAACGCGTTATTTGTGCAGAATGTAAGAGGGAACTCGATTCCGATTATAAAGATAATCATGCCAAGACTGTGGATAAAGGCAAGAAAGTAGCTTTTGTGATGGTGCGCGAGCGCAATCAGAGTCAACTTGCTTTTTCCAATAAAAGCTCCACGGAGTCGCAGCCGTCAAGGAAGCTTTTCAGAGCAATCGTTCAGCTTGACGCTCATGACCAAGAAGGTATTAAGAATGGATCTACGGTGACCACTCACAACCCACTACCAGGAATTAGTTCAATAGTCTCGGAGGATAACCAGAATGACAAGTTACAGTCGGATCCGTCTCGTGACGGTCACGGTATTGAAAACGTGGTAGAGCCCATTCCTCCAAATCAGAAAAACCACCAGTTAGTTCCTGTTCGAATGTACAAACCGATGGCATCGAGGCAGTTGAAATTCCGCCTGTATCGGTGGTGCAGGAACTGGGAGATGACCCACATGTGAGGGTTCCTCTTCAGAAATCTATTAAAGAACCTGAACCCTCCTCGCATCAAACTGTCGAGGTAGCGATGGAGCCCGAAGTCAGTTGATCCAGTCCCTAAACTCCCCTTTCTTCCCGCCCCATATAGGGGCTGAACCCGGGCGGGCGTGCCGTAAATGAAAAATGAAATGAAAATAGTTTAATAACACTTCTGGCAGTTAAAAACTGAATAAACACTGCAAATTACAAAATTGGATACTAATACTTCAATCTGTTTACGACAATAACAATCTATCTAAGAGAATAAGTATTATAATAATAATGGAATCACGAGAAACTAAATGTAAAAAAGTCATCTGCTGTCTTGTTCCTTTTCCTTGCTGTAGTGGCTCTAGTATTTACCGATCTTAACTGATATGGGATAGATCTTATTGTAACTTGCAGGGCCAAGAAAGATATGGGGTGGCTCTCATTCCTCATATCCGCCATCAACTTTTTACATAAGAATATCCTGCGATTAGCTAAGGATGTCAGATTTGCTTGATTTAGGGCTTGATGTTGTTGATTTAGTGCTTGATGATAGGAAATATTATTCTCAAAGCTCTTCTTTGTATAGATTTTATAGCCGTCACAAAGAGATGATATGATAGCGCAGTACGCTCAGTGGACCTCGCCCGGCAATCATCCAGAATGAGCTGCTAATCTCGAGAAGGCGCTACTCCAGGCAGACCAACGCCTGTTCAATCGATTCAAGAAAGCACATGTCGAAAAATCAATAAAAACCGCGGCAGAAGTCATTGATGTATTGCATGAAAACAGCCTTAATGAAATGACACCAGAGTTCTCGAAGGTCGCGTCCATTTTGGCCATCATTCCCGCAACATCTAGGGTGCTTACCATTTGTCAGAATGAACCGGTTGGGATGACCGTTGAATAATGGTAAGGGTTTTTCCAAAATCAGCAAACCAACCGAACGAGATGGCGCTTACCATTTGCAATTCGATTTCTCGTAGTTGTTTTGGGCTGATGAGAGACTGGAAACCGGAAAATTTACCAAATGGTGAGGAAATTTCCATCGGTCCGTTCCGAACGGAAAAAGAGGACTACCTCTGGAGGTACGTACTCTACAACTTCCGAACGGATTTTCCGGAAAATTACTGTTCCATTTGACTTTCAACCGAAATTTCCGGATTTTTTTTGCTAAATGGTAAGCACCCCTAGTCTCCTCCGCAGCCGTTAACGTTGCGCGACATCCCAAAAAACGGCTGCGGAGGAGACCTACGCAACATCATGCTCAGCGGAGCGTTCGTTCAACGGACTCCGGCGGCTGAAGACTTACCTTCGTAACACCATGGAGCAGCATAGACTGAGTAGCCTCGCTACCATGCGTATTGAGCGCGCCTATGGAAATCAAGTCATTGTCAACAGTATGGACAAGATGATTAATATTTTCGGACAACGCCCTAGAAGGAACAACTTTTTCTTTTAATAAGTTTTAGATTATATTGAGACTGTTGATAGAATTGAGTGTGCAAATTTTCAATTTAACTATTTTTCCAATGATAACAGTTTCATTAGATGCGAGGATTGTGAACGTCTGCGTTTACATCCCGATTTCAACACTCACGCTTTCGGGCATTGCGGAATATTTTCGGGCAAGAAAGTCACCGCCCGCCAAGTCCGAAGGTGCCCGTACGCTTATGTTTGCCAGTGTGATTTAAAGCGCCGTCCAGCAATCGCCTTTCTTTCGCTTCAGTTGATGATCGACAAAAATTATTCGTTGACTCTACCCCGGTGGAAATATTTGTGTCACAGGTGGGCACGTGACCAGCCGCAACCAGTACCAGGGTCTTTCTCGCAACGAGAGGCAGAAGAGAAAGAGCCTGGGAACGAGGTTGGTTGAACATTTCACATGCACACATTACGTAGTAATTAAAATCTTTAGCTGTTCAAATTTTGTTCCTTCCCTTCACTTTGCGGTTCTTCATGGTTCTTCGTGGTTAACCTTGCAAGGTGAGTAAACAGTTTTCGGCACATGCACAACTTAAATAAACCTAGATAAAATATATAAGTTTACGTTTCGGAGTTGTGTGGTGTTTCGTTGATAGAATAGCAACTTAACTATTGTGTTCGCCAACCGTATGAAGTCGATCGATTCGCCATATTATGTCCTCCACAATACGTTTTGGAAAATTTTTGAAATGTATTTACAAATATTATTAGAGGAATAAAATGTCACCTTTGTGAGATGACATGGGTGTTTATAGGTTAATAGTGTCGTTTGAATGTTCGTTTCACTCTCCTAAATCTCTCTTTCCCCACGCCACGTTAATGATGCGCTCGTTGATGATTGATCGATGGCCGATCGTATTTGCAGAGTTACCACTAGTTTTGATAGTTAAGAGTCCTTGGGACCCCCAGTTCCAAAGAGCTTGGGGTTCTTTTTGCTCTGCAGGGTCCCTTTGCCTATTTACTAAAATTTTCGGAACTTTTTTCCTGCGTCCTGGAAGGACGCACTTTGCCATAAATCTGTACGTCCTTTTCATTTTTGTGCGTATAAAACGCACACCTGTGCATTAATGGAAAGTCAAACCCTGTATTTTTAAACTTTGAAAACCATCAACGGCTTTTTACCCTGAAGAGTTTGAACCGTCTGTAAAATCTAAGACCGATGTGTTTGTTTGTTATTGCACTCGCATAGCAACAAAGTCGAACAAAGTCTGTTGATCGATCGAGCGATGGCCGATTGTATTTGAAAACTTAACAAAACTTCTGCGGCTTTTATCTGTAGAGTATAAGAAATGCGTTTTAAACCTTATTATTAAACATTTGTGTAGTTAAAGAGCAATTGAGTCTAAATATTATACATACTTTGAGTTGGAGCGAAACGGACCTGGGGTGAAATGAGCTGTGACTGATGGTTGCTTTGATAATTTGCATTATCAGTGTCATGTTTGGTTCACTTTGGTTAACCCGCACAGGCTTAAAGTGTTTTACTACAGTTTTGATGGATTATAAGAACCTAACTTCTAACTCTTTTGAAAAATGTTCCAATATGTTTTTCCTTTCGCTATTTAGTGTTTGGTTAAGTATTTTACTATTCCATGTGAAACTTGAACAATTTAATCATTTGACCCCTGTGCCGGCTGTAACCGGCCGTGACGAGCATTGACCTTTGTTCCACTTCTGACGTCATCACCTTTGATCAAAATTGGCATCATCTATACTCAAGTTCTGTAGGAGGAAAAGATCTTTCCAATGATACCCAGATCAGAATGATTGACTCAATAGAGCCTAAGATATGCACAAAAATGCTCAGAAATTTGAACGAAAAACGTGGAGCAAAATTTCCTGCAACGGCACTTAGCTACTCCATTGTAAAAATTGCCCGTCTCGATGATGCTTTCTCAGAAATTTTTAAACTGGAAGCAAGCCCAGTAGAAGGTCAACCACTGCTGCAAAAAGATAAGAAAGGGAGAAAAGGCAAAGGTGAAAAAAAAAAATAGAAAAACTGAAAAGCCTTAAGATGTAGGTCACTTTCTTGTCCAAAAGCCCAAATGATCTCAGAATTTTGATTTTTACACATGCCGGAACCAAAATGTCGTAAAATGCGGAGTCAATGGGTTAATCAATGGGTTAATCACATGACCCAATTTTTCAAAAGAAGAGTCCTTTTGTGATTAATCTGGGAAATCTATCCAAAGCAAGCTCAAAGACGCCAGGATTTCCGCAAAGTTTGGGTTTTAGGTTTTTTTTGTTAATCCACTGACTCCAGTGCCGGCCATAACCGGCCGTGATGAACATTGGCAGTATTATTAAAGAGCAACTAACCCCCCAATTTTTTTTTTTTTTTTTTTTTTGTGATCACCACTGCAAAAAAATTATTGTTGTTGCTATTTTCGGTAATTTCCTATAAATTTTTGAAGTCCGTAAAATTAGCCCTTTCCGTGGCCATGACCGAGCAATAGCGAAGAATGGGGCGAGTTGGCCTGTGACGTCATCGACGGACAAACAGTGTTTTGCTTCTAAGAAGAATGTATGCGAACAGGCACTAGTGTGATTCAAAATCGTTGCAGAATACCAGGAAGATGTGTTTTTGGAGGGATTCGCAGTACAGCATGCTTAGGAAAGAGCAATCCTCTTCATTCAATACCTGACACTCGTCCAGAAGCGAGAAAAAGCCGAAAGCAGTGTGCAGACTTGTGCGAAGTCGGACATCGAGCAGTACTTCGATCTCAGGTTCGCCGCTTCTGTAAAAACCTAGGATTTTCATGGCCTGTTTATTCTTCCCTAGCTTCTAGTGCGAAGCGCGATATTGTCAAGGTAGATAAGACACGAATCGTTGAAATAAGCTGGGAGTCATCTGACTATTCAATTCAAACGAGTCCCAGATGTCCCAGACTAAAATAATGGAAACTACTGTTGGTGAGATAATTATATGGCAAATTATACGCATCGACTTTTCTTCGTCCTCGAAATAGAGAGCTTTCTAAACGAATAATCAACCTCACGTACGTCCTACAGCGCAGC